ATAAGTCATCGTTCGCACTCTTATCGTCATTTCTATCACTTAGACATCGCTGTGAAGAAACCGTCGAGGAAGTTTTTGTACTGTACGCCACAACGCCAATTTTAGTATATGTTCAGGAATGAACTACCGTCGAGGAAGTGTTTTCTTTCGACTTTTCTGAAGATTGTAAGCCATCGCTAGTGAAGAATTTCAAAATGCCTTTTCACGAGTTTTTGTTCAATTCCCTAATCCTCAATGTTCATTTATCTCTCTTCCCGCCTGTTTGCCTTTTCCATTCGCTTAATGACACTCTCACAGCCATTCAGACCTAAACCGGGCTCTGCAGGACACCTGCGCTTCCTCTATCAAGAAAATTGTCGTTTTGTTGGCGTGTGCGTCAGTTTACAATCGTTCACTATGAAACCGCCTTTTTGCTGTTTTTGTTCAGTTTCCTGCAGCGATCAGGGCTCCTCTCTCACTTATATTTTGCATTTCTTCGTTACTTTTTTTCATCGCAACTGCTGCTCATTTTCGCTTCACTACTCGGTGGGGCTCGTTATCCTCTCCTGTTGCTCGATAATGGCAGCATTGCCATTTTCAGCCTACATCTCATGGCGTCGCTCTTTTTCTATTGAATCGTTTACAGCCGCTGCTCCTCCTCCTCCAGCTTCACCTTATTCCGGCACATTTATTTATTTATTTCTTACATGTCAAACAACATGCAGAATAAGAACAAAATGATTGAAAACAACTCAACGAACTAATGAAAACTGAATGTATCGGCAAGGACAAAATTTAGCTGCCCGCGTGCATCGCCGGGTATGCACGCGAGTAGTGCATCTACATATGTCACATGGGTGACGTGCGCCGGAATTCAGTATAGGCGTCAATGCGTTAAATTTGCTGAAGAAGTCGAAAACTGAACAACCCTGCATCCTTAATTATTCTATACTTTGCACCCAATCGACGAGTGAGGAAGTGGAAATGAAATCTTGATGCTATCCACCTAGCCCTGGATGGGACTACTTTGAGGAAGCGATTACTGTCCAAATTCACTCATTTGTTAAGGATGTTACACACAATCAAAACATTGTCAGTCCTCTGTTTTATGTAGATGTAGTGAGATTGATTAAGCATTTTTATTGTATTTGCCACGGGGAGTACTACTATGTACTACGAGTGCTTGTGCATGCTGTTTCCGAGTATTGACATTGGTTGTGTCATTGGTATGTGAACTGCAGATGGCACACACGCCTTAGTCTCTTTTAGGCCGATGTCAGACTTTGCGAATCGCGCGATTCGCTAGCGTCTGCGGTCGCGTCGCGGCCAGTGAATCACTCAATTGGCTGGTACCGCAACGCGACCGCGGACGCTAGCGAATCGCGCGCGATTCGCAAAGTCTGACATCGGCCTTAATACGCTAACGTGACTGTTTTAGCAGGTGACCTTCGGCCAGTGGAGTTTATTAGGGTGGGAAACATGGTAACTTAAGGTGAAAATGCAGTTAGAGGGGAATACCCCATGCTGCTGTTGGATTTTCAATAGGGTTATAGGATTGTTTTATGACTGTAGCGATCGGCAACCCTCTCAAGTTTACACATGACCAGGAATATCGTTCGGAAGCTTAGAGTTTTTTTTAAACCCAAAAGAATTCTACTTGCTCTATTCACTCAATCCATTTCTCGGAGCGCTAAGCATCCCGTTTTTCCAGAATCAGAGGCAGGCATTCCTACCGGACGAAAACTTATCGTAAGTAAAGGAGGTTGTTGTAGCAGAGATGAGAAGAAACGCATAGCGGCTTGAAAACGCCGCCATGGAACTCTTTCGTTGTTCGTTGGTTTGCGCACTGATGTGACTCTAATCGCAGTGCCGTCTTCAACACTACGCTCTCTCTGCTATCTAATCGTATAGACCTGCGGCGAGTGATTAGATAGTCGGTGGGCGTACCCCGCCAACCGCGCCAAGAGTGAGCCATGCTAGATCGCCGAGGTCAAATCTTTCGCTGCCAATTGCGCGTCGGTCAGCACCCTCAGGAGGTCCGCCTGTCTCCCAACTATGCAATTTTCCCCTTCTTTGACTTTCGTTCTTATCGAAAATTCCTCCTTTGAGGAGACTTCAAGCGAATTCTACGATATTTAACCCTTTGCGAACGAATCAGCCACAGATGGTTAAGGCGCCAAAAGAATGGTTTGGTGGACGACACTCCAAGACAGCTCTGACCATGGCCGTGCGCACGTGAAGCGGCACCACCTTTGAACCCACCACCTCCACCCACCGTGCTTCATTTCTTGAACTTCAAATTTTTTGCAAGACTAACAGTAAGTTTCCAGACTATAGAGTTCAGTAGCCACCTCTCAAAACTTCCATAAATTTCACTTCACTCTTAGTTCTCTATTTCTCATGCTCTAGAAGTTATGAATCCGACACAAATTTCGTGCTAAAGCAAGCCTAGCAAAGACAACAAATTTTTAAGGTGGCTCTGATAGACTGAAAATCTGAGCTCCCCAAATTTTAGTTGCGCGCCACTCTGGATGACGTTTTTCAGTTATAGTTTGCGTCTGTCCTGTATGAAGCTTATCAGAGAAAGCGAAATTTCTAGGAAAATTTCTGCTGGCAAAGTAAAGAAAAAAGAGAATAATCAGAACGTATTTTCGAAACATAACGGATATGGCTCGAACTAGAAGTGGTAATCTGATTGGACGCACTTGCAAGTTTAGGAGCTTCAAATCGAGTTTTCGAAACTCCCGCTTGACCAAAGAAGATGAAACATGCATTTGTAGACGGCTTAAAATCTCTAGGTTCTGTAGGAAAATCATTAACGCTCCATGTTTCTCATTTTCAGAACACTACAGTCCTTTCAAAGCCGTTCCTTCTTTGAACAAAACAGCGCAGGTAACAACAAAATACTCACCGTGAAGAAGGATTATTAAGGGTCCAAGCTCGCGTCTTCCAGGACATGGAGCGCTTTTTCAAAAAGATTTCCTGCATGTCATAAAGACACGCGGAGTATGAACTGAGAATAATTTTTTCTGAGCGGCTCTGGGAATGCTAAAAAACATGTCGAAACCATGGCTTGTGGTTCGATCCCCACTGAGGACAAATTTTTGCATTTCTCTGATTTCCACTTTCTTGGGCTCATATATGTCTAAACTTATTCAGTGAACAAAAAGTTTCCAAAATTCATTGCTACCATTGCTGTTTAGTTTTTCAAAACTAGAAAAGGTTCACTTCTCATGGGAAATTTTCTGCCCTTCTTCTGGCAGTCCCAGGGCCGCTCAGAAAAAGTGATCTACGCACGACTTTACGCATGTGCACTACAACATGCGATAGTCGTTTTGAAAAAGCGCTCCATGACCTGAAAGACTTTTCTGGTTAGCTCAAATGGGTAGGGTTCGAGCATCGCAGACCTAATTTCTCTCCTCCCTATTTCGCGGGCCAGAGAGGCGCTATGATTAAACAAGAATAATCGAAGGGGTACGGCGAATTTTCCGTACATAACTAGTAACATTCTGTCGTAAATCATTTGAGAATTTAATTATCACAATATTAAAGGAGTGATCGCGCCGGCTTTGGGTGGAGCTACATGCTACGCGTTATCAACCAGATAACTCAAGATATGGCCGCGTTCATAGTTCGCGACTCGGGAGATTAGGATAGTACGCGACAATGAAAAACATATGTATTGACGGGAGATTAGGATAGTAGTAGAGTAGGAGATTGCGCTGACAAGATTAGATACGTATCGATTGAAATCGCTGGAGAGTAGTAGATTGCGATATTACGATAGTAGGATAGTAGTAGAGTAGGAGATTAGGATAGTGCGCTGACAAGATTAGATATGTATTGATCTATTCGCTTGAAGTCGCCCAATCTACTACTCTCCAGCGATTTCAATCGATACGTATCCAATCTTGTCAGCGCAATCTCCTACTCTACTACTATCCTAATATCCTGTCGCCTACTATCCTAATCTCCCGAGCGCGAACCTATGGACCCCCGGCCTATGAGTTGACTGAAACGCACGCGTAATTCATCCGGCAAGATCAGGCTTACAATAAATAAAAGATCAAGGCTGAGTGGATAGGTCACACAAAATGCAAACTTGGACAAGAACGATGACTGTATCATATCAAGTGTCAGCTACTCATTGCCAACGACTCCCTCACACGTCCAGTCCGTTACTAAAAGCTTTTGGCAGGTCAAGTACGTTCAACTAGGGTAGCCCTCTACCTCGGCCATTCCACTATGTACTTTCCCCATTCGTCCCCAGGGGACTTATCGTGACCGCTCCCATCTGATGATGCTTATAAGCCTTTAATTCTGATACAACTTAGTAACATGTGTGAATACCATCTGGGAGGAAGTGATGTGTGGACATCTTGGTTATCAGATCATATCCAGATCAGACCTCTAATTGCAGGCCAGAAAAGGTTTCCATCATCGAAATCGGCTACGTGATAACACTCTCATTCGGGCCAACTAAACTGAGCAACCTCCACAACGTTGTGCTATATAAAGGTACCCTCAGAGACCGGAATGTCCTGAATGGAAATCGAATGCGTGGCTCACTCAAAACCGACTGGCATTGACTCACAAAAGTCCTGTACCGTACCCTCCCATACCGACTTCCGTTTGTAATTTCAGCACTCCAAACTGGCCAGGAAATGGTTAAGGATCTATTTCGCCCCCTAGTTGTAAAGACGCTGCCCTGAGCAGCTTCTGAACACTGCAAGTTACTAAGCCTTGTTTATCTCCGTCGTAGCTGAAAGTCTTTGAATCCAGCCAGATTACTCCATCCTCAATTACCTCCGCCTTTGATACTCGCACGCTCACTCTGCGTCCCTGACCGGCTGTCACCAATTCTCTGTCGTTTGCACTCTGCCATTCTCCGCTGGCGAGCGCCCAAGTCGGGTGTGCAGCTGCCACCTACGCGGCTCCGTTCTACCTCGAAATGTCCTGAACTTGCTTATTGTTTACTTCTCAGATGATCTGTTAGACTCAAGACAGCTCGCCACTTGAGAATGTCTGTCACCGAGCCGGAATTCCGGCGTGCTTTGGCCGATTTTGTGTCGAGGATCGATCAGCTCGGTAAAACTGAACGATGGACTCTGCACAAGGTACGAGTTGTGATTGACGTTTGTGCTGTTCTTTGTTTCTTACCGCTACTACTCGATATTCAAAAGATGAAGTAGTTGATTAGTGTGCAATGTGCATCCGGGGAGGGGGAGGGGGCAGCCTGTGGGAAGGCAACTAGGACTAAGCCAATTGAGAGGGGGACCGATTCCGGAGTGAATGAGGACTGCTTATGCACCTCAGGTTCCCTCTTTTAGTCAAAGGTCTCGTCCTAAAAATAAGCGTCGGTGAATCTGGCGCAGTGTTAAGCGCTGGCCCCACCAGAGTCATTCTGCCTTGATCAGCTCCCAGAGTGACGCAAAAGGCGTTCAAGCTTCCCGGTGTGGGCTTTCTTTCTGTAAACCCATTACTTGTTTCGGCTGTTTTGTTATCCATTCATCTTTTTCTTTTTTATGTCCATATTACTTTTTATGAAGCTAGTCTAAATTGTTATTGCAACAGAAGTCAAATAAATCTGGCAGGGTTTAAAGAGGAGTATTCCTCGTTTCTTGCTTTTTTCTAACGCACAACTCTGCCATCTAGTGGCAGCTGTTGCGGAACTACGAAACATGAAACTGCGTCAGACTACAACGCTGTGACGATCAAAGGTCGGATGCAGCAGCTCGTTTTTCCCACCACTGCAATCGTTGAGACTAAACGAAATAAGTTTTATAGAAGTTGGAAAGCAATTGTTAACACTTTAAACTTCTTTCAATCGGTTTTGAGACGATTCACTTCGAAGTGAAGAAGCTGAAATGAAAAATGGCGAAATCAGGGAAGAAAATATAGGAAACTCATTTTTTGTAGTAATAATCACAATATTTCTTTACGACCATCGTGGGTAAGAGAGTGAAATTCGATCAAATAGTATCGGTCAAGAAAAACCGCTAGGTATTTATCAGTCTTTCTGGGATGCGCCATGCATTCTACTCCCATTCAAGGTCATAGAAACAGTTACATGCGATTTGGCTCATACTATGATTTGCGTGAGCAAGCCATGCACAATTCAGTGGTTTCTACCCTAAAGAACCACTTTATCAGACCGAGAGTAGATATAACATTTGGGTGCTCGAGAGCCGCACTCGATCGGAGATCCAATCGTCAGTACTTTGTAGATGGTAGGGGCGGACGTGGTGTAGTGGCAAGCGGCGCCGATTCTTAGGCGGACGGTACAAGGGTCAAGCTCTGATCAAATCTCGCCTGGGCCCTCAAGCCATTCATCCCTTCAGGTCGATCAGCTGGTAGTAGACTGGTCTGGGAGAATAAGCACACGGACTTGCAAATCGGCTGGCTCCGCAGTCAGTGCATAAATTACATGCATTCAAATACCGCTGTGATTTTGAACAGAGGTCGAAGACGTGGCGCATATCGAAAGGGATCAACGCCGGAAGGTATTTCTTGTATTCTTTCATCGCGAAACGCTGTCACATAAGTGCGGTTTCGAGTTCTGTCGTTTTTCACTCAAAATGATATGTATGCAGCATGAGCTTCTTCGAAACGTGCGCATTCACGAAACGGAAAACAAAAACGGAAAAAATCGAATTTTCTCACCTGATTTTACATATTTACCTTAAAGGCAAAGGTCGGGATTAGTTGACCAAACCAACCCTTTCGGTCATGCCTGTACTTGGTTACGCACCCGTAGAGATGTTCCCACACTCAAAATCCGAAACGGCGCGGTAATAAGGCCCAGGGCATGTACTATGCGCTATCGCCGCCTGGCCCCGCTACGACCGCCCACCTTGGGATGTGGTGCGTGGCTGGCATAACGTGTGAAATCAGCTAGGTTGATTGCCGTATCAACCGATAGAACGACTGACATCTCCAGAAAACTTGTTTGTACGTGCCTCTTCCCCAAGCCAGCCTCCTTCACTGCTAGTGGGAAAGAGGGTTTTGTTAACGGCCTTGTCGACGGTTTTTCTCAGTTTTTTCTCCACTGTCGTTCCACTTCGCATCTCTATACTCAGTTTCAATCGCCATAATACCCCCTTATTGAGCCCGACTTTTGCCTTTAAAACAAGTTCCTGTATAATGCGTGCTATAGAGGTCAGGACACCCGATAACAGTAACAATTTTCGCTACTACATCGGCGTGAATGAAACCGTCCTCAAATTTGTATGAATAACCTTTGCATGCCACACATGACCAGTGATGCCTGATTAGTACGTACACGACTCAGGAATCAAATCCCTCCCAGACCGCCCTACTTGCAACTCTCAAAAGTTGATCGTTTGGCACCAAACTTTGTTTTGGACATGAAAACACAGAGCTACAACTGGGCTAGCCACCTTGCCTCATATGCTGCTACGGTTATGAGTAGAAGTGAGTGCATGGCGCATCTCAAAAAGGATCGATGACGCAGAATAGTCAAACCTTTTCGAATTTTTACATTGCTGGTCGTACCATGGATCAAATAAAGGATCTCTGCTACACATCGGTTTCTAATGATTTTCCAAACAGTAAACCTACAATGGAAGATCATGGGACTTGCCTGCCATGAGCAATTTTAGAACTATTCAATCAAACAAATTTGTTTTGTCGTGACTGATCGTGTAATCCACAGTCTAATCATGCCAGAAGGTAGACCGCAGAGCAGGAACAGCGTTGCACTGTCGGTGAACGTGCATTTTTCCAAGCTTATTTTTTACAGATACATAATCAAAGAGTTCAGCCTTTAAACTAAGAAAACCTCCCGAATATTGTATATATTCAGTGGATAATAATGCGGTCCCAAAGTTTTTTTTTTTAGTTTTTTTTTTCTGCGAAGAAAGTGTGTATGGCGATGCCAGCTTCTGAGTTATTTTTTCTGAGTATTTCTGCAACCTAATGAAATTTTGTCTTTTTAGTCGGACATGGGTATCTGCGCCAAGCAGTCTGTAATGATCAAATGGAGAAAAGAAGCGGTAAACCGGCAAGTTCACGTCACCTACAACTCCACCTATGGTGTCCCTGTGCTTTGGTTCAATTTCTATAGGCGAGGTAATAGTTTTTTCATTTTCAATGTTTGCCAAATCTAGCATTTTCCGAGCTTCAGAAAGTATTTGGGTTATACAGACGTCGATGAAGAGCTGACACGTTTATCCTTCGCTGCTGGCAAGGCGTCAAAAGCGTACTCCTCAATTAGATCATTGGGCCATTCCTCTCCACGAATGTTGTTGAGCCAGCAAACTTTGAGATAAGGCCTTTTTGAGGCGCTAAAAAACGAGTGGAAAGGACACTTACGAACTTAGAACTCGCAACTATGTCCACCTCAAACAGGTCCAAGGTCTTCAAAGTGTTTGTCTTTTGGACCTCCCTGCTCTATTTAGAAGCAACAATCCAAAATGGTGCTGAGCAATATGTTCTTTGGGATAGAGAAGCCAAAGGTATAGGTGTGCCGTGTCGCGGCTCAAAAGTGCGCGACAATGGCGCTAGGGCCTTACAAAGTGATCTGATGGCGACTAATGTGAACTTACGGACGAGATACCTCGCGCTCGCCCTCACGCAACGTGGATTACGACGTAGCGATAAGATAGCCGATAGGTAGATAGATGGTAGCCTCATCGCATTGATGCGGTTGTGTTCTAAAAACTCGTCCAGACACATCCTTTCCACGCCTTCATTATCAATCGCTGTTGTCCCCTAATTTGAGCTGGGCTATGGCTTCGAGGTATGCTTTTTTGTTCTCCCCTCCATATAGGTCAATTAGCATATGGTACTGGTATTCAAGTCCCATATATCCTCCACGTTTGCTACCGCGTAATGTTCCTTCGAAGGAGGATCCCACGATGATACTGGAGGTCGAAGAAGGCGGCGGCCAGCAGGGTCATACTCGCGCCGTTGCCCGCCCACCTCCTCACCGTCTTACTCTAACCGCTCCAGCAGAGAGAGATTCAGGGTTGATGAGGTCGGTACGAAAGAATCGCCTAAAGCGCGAATGAAAAGGGGAAGGGCCCTATTTCTTGGATTTTAGGCAGTTTCCTCTTAGTTTTCTCTTCAAATCGTGATGGTATCAGATAAATTTAGTCGTATAGGGCTGACAAATAGGTTTCAGTGTCGTTACTTCGTTCAAATTATCGAAACATGTCATACCAGGAAGTTGTCAAGAATATTAGGAAGTACTTTTCTGCCCCAACACACTTTTTATCGCTTTTCCCGATTGACGATCTGTTTTCAAATAAGGATGAAGAAATTACAACATCCAAGCGGAAGAATCAACACTTTCGTTCTCTGTTTTTATGAAGGCCAAGCTGTCAAAGGGCAAGGGAGAGCAAAGCCATGTGAAGTGAGAGCACCATAGGCTGATCATTGCTCACAAGTAGCCTGCCGATTTGAAAAAGATAACTTTGGCTTGAACACATGCCCCCCCCCCACTAAGAGCCATATTCGGAATGACTGTGTCGTGCTTAAAGGAATCCTTCGCGGAAAATTCTTGCATTCTTTCTTGACATGAATGTGTCAGTTGTGATCACTGGAAACAGCACACAAAGTTTCACGCATGAAGATTCGGTTTCCGAAGAGAAACAAACGTACAAAAACTACACTGGACAATCGAAGGTAATTCGGGCGGAGCCAAAGGCGAGGCATGGAAAGAAGTTGGCCTTTGGCCGGCTATCAGGCGACGCAATGAAAGAATCGGGTTAAAGCGCGCGATTTCGGAGAGTAGAGACAAATCGATCGATAGAATAGGATGGAGTAGAAGTGTAAGATGTGAATGCAATAAGCAGAAGGCCAGAAAGAGTTTCTAGTGAATGAAGGCACTCCAAGAACCAAGTGGAAGCATCCCCGTCGCCAGCATTTGTGAAAGACGTCCGTGGGCACTTTGAACCTTTTCAAACCGTAGCAGTTTGAACCGTAGTTCTGAACCGTAGCAGCCCTTTCGATTTTTCGAATTTTTTTTACCAAAACAAAAGCAATATTTCAGTTCTTTTCATTCTTATCGTGGATAATGAGTCTCAAGCCAGTGATTTATGGCTGAAATAGAATCATGATTTTTCCGTGAAGGATTCCTTTAATGATCCATGCTTGAGAAAAACATGACGTGACAAACTTTTGAATAGCTCAGAATGAATCCACCTGCGAATAAAGCTTCGCCACTAGAAGTTGCCACGTCCGATGAGGCCAATTAACTTACCCTACCTAATGCGCGTCCACACACAGAAAGCCTTACCAATGAGCTCGCCGGGTCAGCCGTGGTACGAGGAGTCACAGATTGCGGAGAAGCGGAGAAGGGAATGGACGAAAAACACGCTGTACGAAAGGGCATAGGTGGATGGTCACAGCATGGCGAACGACGGGAGTACCAGTCTTGGCCACTGATCAGGGACACTGGCAAGGACCCAGCACCCTTGTTGCCCACATTCGAGCCATGTGAACAGCACAAATAACCTTTGCAAACAGGGTATTTCCACCGAGCAAACGGATTACCCCCCCCCCCTGGAGGGGTTTCTATAATATCCACCGTGCTCATCTGCACCTGCCCTAACCGACTACTTCCTTGCGACCAGCTTTGAAACCATATTTACGGAGCACAAATCGTAAGCAATGAAAGCGTTAATGACGACTGGCTAACTCTTTTATCTCTAGACTCGGGTATTTCTGGCACAACATAATCAATCACTTGATCGATAGTCATGAAACAAGTGATATAGTAACTTAATACATCACCACACATTTTTGATTTTGTGTTTTTGTTGTTATGTTGGGTAAAAACCAATGAATTTATAACAAACCCAACAATTATTTTAGTGTTTTGAGAAAAACATTTCAATGTCATTGTAACGATAAGGAATTGCAGGAATCAATTTCCGCACGGTCAATTACATTGATAATGATAATTTTGAAAATACTTCTGAAAATCCACCATTCGATTGACATTTATTGGAATTTTCAGATGGAACGCCTTTAACATGCTCTGAAATTATGGAAATGTCACACAACGAGGATTCTGAAATTTCACAATATATCTCTCTGAATGAACACCCGATTCTTGGCGTTCTTTTCTACAATATTCACCCGTGCAAAACCAAAGACATATTGAATGAGCTCGACGGCAAAGGAAACTATATTGCAAAGTAAGTGATACTTTCATGAGCATCAGAAACAGATCATTTTCCCGTCCATAAAGACAGAGAGTACGATGGACTGCATCAGTGAAAGTGTAGCCGTGGAAGTGATAGCTAGGCTGCAATGAAAGTGGGTTCCGGCGTCCTCGCAGCGGAAGATACCCTAACTTGCGCAGCCCGGCGGTAAACCTTTTCCAACAACTTATTTTCGTACTCACTGCCTTCAATAAATCTACAACATTGGCAGTTCAACACAGACTAGATGGAGATTACAAATAGAGCACTCTTTAGGTCACAACATCCCATGCACAAACTCGAAGGGCTATTTCTGTTCTTATGATTAGTAGGCCTTTGACGACGGTGCACAATAAAAGTCTGGGCACTAGTGTCTCAGAGAGGAAACTGCTGAGTGCGCCAAGCAGCAACCACTACGGGACAAGAATGCTCTACCGGAGTCAAGGCCACAACGGTTAGAGAGATGTCAGAGTCCGTGGAGTCGCGTTTTCATTGCATACGCCCTGTGGCGACTCTGACACATCTCTTACAGTTTTTAAACTACCACCGCAATTAAAAGACTACAAGTAACCTAATTAAACCTCTCCCAGTTTTAATAAAAGAGCTGCTAGAAGCTTGTCGAACCCTCTGGTTCACCTCGAAAAGTGGGTGGAAGTATGGGAAATATTGTGTTAAGCCTTGATGAATATATGACAAAAAGGAGAAAAGAAAGCGCAAAGTCACTAACAATTCAAAGGAGAAGATCTCAAATTATTCCTGGAAGGGATATCATGAAGTGAGCACGCTAAAAAAATGTTCGGCGTACACAGAAATGCCTTCGGCTTCGCGTTCGATCTCACCACAGTTCCTCTCCACTTTCAAAGTGAATGTGAGAGAAGCTAACTCCTCATTTAGTCAGCTCTTTTCCAGATGGTTGTCTGTATATGGGGCGCCAATTGGCCTCGCTCCGCCAGATGCGTTGTTCACTTCGAAGGCGCTTTCGCAGCGCTCCGAAGACGCATCCCAAAGCTCGGATGATGGTTCCCTGAGCACTCTCGAGATGTAGATGTGGGACGAAACTGAGAGTTCATCAATGGACCAGATGTTTTTCTGCGTCGAGGTATGTCGTCTGCCAACGGATTTTCCTAGAATGTATACATTTCTTCTCCTTAAACTTTCTATTGATGGTAATAAGAAATTTGTGAGAAATTAACAACTCGCTGCACAGCCTCACTGCGAAACTAACTATTGCAGCCTTAAAGATGCGGGACAAAATAACGCATAACTGCGCAGAGGAACGCACCATAGCAAAGTCTTCTATTTTGTCTGCGCTTGATCAATCTAGCACGGCATAACAAAGGGCTCACCGCAGATGGGTCGAAGAACTCCAACACCTTGAGAAACAGCATATTTATAATAGACACTATTATGTAGAGTATTCCGAATCCGATGCCTTGATCCGCGTACCTGGTAATGTTTGAACTTAATCAATTCAGGCGAGATAACAGACAAATAAATCACCTTTTTAGGCCGCGACGCCACACAGGTGTTGGTTCTCGCATAGCGTCCTTATATACTAATTCCGTGCGTTTCGCGACCTGAAGTTTCTGATTTGCAAAATGGGACATTATACATACCTTAAGTTTAAACATGATAGTATTTTCACTTCTACGTTGGAGTTGGTCAATGCATTTTTCTTCGTTGAGCTACGTATCCAAAAATGCTGTTTGGCTCCCAGACAATACCTAACCATTTGGGCGCGGCCGCGGCGAACGCGGCCGAGTCGATTGTGCCCGCGAACCGTTGAAAACGCACTCGAGGTGCCCGCGAACTGTGCTGTGCTGAGTTCGCGGGCACCTATCAACTCGGCCGCGTTCGCCGCGGCCGCGCCCAAATGGTTAGGTATTGTCTGGGAGCCATGCTGTTTCTGCTCTACTACATCTTGTTTTTGTTTTTTTTCTGTATTATAAATGCATCCAGATATAGTGCTCAGAAGCAGAAAAACCAGGCAACAAAAAATTTGACTAGTGCTGTTCTTTCGTGAAGACAAAAACTGTCAAAGCGAGAGCTCATCAGATTTTTTTGCACTCATTGGACCTTTCCTTAAAGGAAGCGATTACGATAAGGAATTTTCGCATCGGGGGAGAACCTGCGCCACACGGAGCAATTACTTGGCTGCCAAGGAAGCGATGTGTGGTCCTCCCACGGCGAAAGGTGCTGTGGTTGCTGAGCAGGACCCGCGTGACGCCCCGCCCCAGTGACGTGACGCCCACTAGTTTTGTTGATGATCTGGATGGACTGTTTGCTGTTGGCTTTTCATTTTGGATGATCATTTCCCTTCTAGCGGCTGTATCTTCCAACTTGCCCACGTATTGCCTTATCAATCAAAACACTATGCTTGTTGGCATGATGGCGGCTATCGGGGTTAACACGTCCGAACAACGTCGTTCTTTACCGTCGCTCATCCATGGTCGAAAATGAAAGGGCAATCAAAGGGGTACTATTTTGCTTATTTTTGACGGATTTCTTTGCTTTTTTCGCCATTGGCGTACTATTGAGACCCTCACGTCCCCTCTAAACCCCTGTGAGATCTATCGTAATCGCTGCCTTTAACCGACCTAATTTCACCCAAGTTTAAGTTACGTTCATGTCTCAAATTATGAATAATGAGACTTGAAAGGGACACACTTTTTTCTCAAATTCGAATCCGATGATTCCTAACGAAATGGAATCAGTCATAAATGATGACAAAGAGGACCTCTCTGATTAGTTTCATGATGTTATGCTCCTTTTAAACATCTGTACCGATGTGCCAAGCTGACCTAATATCAAGAAATAAAGCCAAAGTGATGATCTTTCGATTTTTTTTGTCTGGTGACTTTGAAAAGACCTTGTGTCTACATTCTATGAGTTGAGTTGTACAGCCATCTTTATTAAGACAGCCAGCGTTCTTCAAATCCTTTTCTGCAGTGAATGACTCGTCCGCCTAAATGGAACTTTCTTGTTAACACGTTGACGACAGCAAGAAGCACACGCGCACCCAAATAGATTATTTTTCGCGCATGCGCCACTTTTCTAATTTTCGCATTCATTCTATAAACCACATCAAAACGTGCGTGACCATGAACGGTGTGATTGACGAAACGTTTGAATATTATTTTCTTTAGCAAATGTCCTCCAACCACTACAAGTTCTGCAGTTCGGGTCATTCCTCGTTTTCCTCATATTCTCACATAGAAGAATATAAAGATGCAGTAAAAGTAAGTACAGACATATACATATAGCAAGATATATGTTTTTAGTGGAGCAACCGCGTCAAAAATAATTTTGAGGTTCACTACAGCAAAAGCAACTGAAACTTGCCTTTCATTGCCAACACGTCATTCGATCAAACTTTTACAACTGTACCTTCCGATAAGTTTGACACATCGAATATCATTGAAAACATTTTGTCGCATCCAAGTTTTGCGTTACAGCTCAAAATCCACGGATTTGATGTGAGGCGGCGGCGCTTGCAAAATCGCTCTGGTCCCATGCGGCTCACAAAACTCGCACTGTTATTAACGTGTTGAAGCAAATACAACACATCTGGTAGCATCGTAAACAGTGATACATATGGGTGTATAGAAGCTGTGTGTATGGGAATATATAATCGAGAAATCATGAAATTCTGTGCTTACATTTGGCCAGTAGTACATATCCGAGACCGCCCTGTGTTTCTGAACTGGATCCATCAACTGCTTCCTCTCCCTTTTACGGATCGCATCAGAAAGTGCATCAACCAGCACTAAATTCTACCCTATAAATCAGCACCAAAAATATGAATATGTAGATGTAAATGTGTGATATCTTACGTTCCGGAACTGGTTCTTCAAGCGCTATAAATTCTGCTGGAAGTACCTCCGGTATCCCACCGACTTTTGTGGAAACGACATGCAATCTTAATGATACTGTTCTCCAACATGAAGTGTTTTTATATGAAAAAATTTCAGCTCATACCCACAACTGGCGGCCTCCACAATGCTCATGCAAAACGCTTCCGTTAAGGACGTGTTGATAAATATCTGGAATAGATTCTGTATATTTGCAACGATAGTACCTACAGCGTGTCTGAAATCCATATAGGGATTTCAGATGCATTTATGTATTACCTCGTAATATAAAACAAGCTTTAAGCTTCACGATTTAATCGATTACTGGTGATGTATTGCTATAAATTCTATAACAATAAAAATTGCTGGATATTTGCCCTCACCTGGCCTTGAACAAGCACTTCTCGCACCATGTCATGTGGTAGTGTACCCAACAGAGTAACACGGCTGTGCAGATGATACTGCTCGCGCATTTCCTCCAGTTCTAATCTCTTCGGACCATCGCCACCAACAATAAATCGCACATGAGGATGACGTGCACATATCTTACAAAAGGATGCAATACAATTTGTAAAAGTAGAGCAAATGATAGAAAACACGAATAAGATTATTAAGCCTTTTGTGTGTGAGCGACCCTTTTTGTGCATGTGATATTAAGACTTTCCCACATTGCATGCAGCTGTCGAAGTGCGGACGAATTCCCAAAAAAAATCAGTAAGGCTGATGTCAGAGTCCGCGATCCGTCGCAGGTTTCGCTGATTTTCGCGATTTGCGCGATTCACGCGACGGGTCACGGAAATCACAAGTGCCCGATCAATACTGCAAGGTGTTCTCCAATCCCGCCGCCACTTCTGCTTGATAGTGATGGCTGAATGACGACTGCTCATGATTCCACTTGTTTTACATGTACTTTTTCAAATATTTTAATGGGGCACATGCAATTTTCGCGGTCTGCGCCTGCTACAGATCGCAGAATCTGACACCAGCTCAACATCTTTTTTTGAAATATCCGTTGAATAGGCGACAAATGATTTCAGCATTCTATTCGCGTTGTGTATGATCGAAGAAATTGTTTGTGGTGTTGTTTTAGCCGAGGGTACCGACTATAGATAGCGTTCGGTAGGGTAATTCAGAGAAGTTTGGTTAGTCGTTCCGTTACGAATTACATCGACTACAATTCTTAAAAAACTCCGACTGTCACTGTTCAAGGGCGGTATTCAATCCTTCCCCCAGGGGGATATATCCCCCTACTCTGATTCAATCCTCTGGGGGGACAAAAAAGGGTTGCGTCATAGGACCTAGCATACCTCTGTGTTTCTACCTGCCAGACAGTTAGAGCAGCGCGACCCCTCAGGGAAAAGAGTGCTTCATCAGTGGAGGGTAGCGCTGCTCTAACTGTCTGGCAGGTAGAAACACAGAGGTATGCTAGGTCCTATGACGCAACCCTTTTTTGTCCCCCCAGAGGATTGAATCAGAGGAGGGGGATATATCCCCCTGGGGGAAGGATTGAATACCGCCCCGGACAAGCCGAAAATCGTTTCTCAGAAGTTTTGGTTTCAGATGATAATTTAAACAGCGAAAAAGCGCAATAATAAAATACAAAAAGAAGTTTCTACAGTCTGTTCTGCAAAAAATAAGTGGCGATGAAAAATCCCATTCTACTGGTAGCGGGTTTTATTTCCCATGAACACATTTTCCATAACTGTTCTAATCCGGGGGAAGTGGTGTAGTGGCAAGTGGCACGCTTACCACGCGAGCGGTCCGGGGATCAAATCCTGGGTCGTGAGTCGCCCGGGCCAACCAAGCCTTCCATCCCTCCGGGGTCGGTTAATTGGTACCAGACTTGTCTGGGAGGATAAAAACACTGACTTGTACATCGGCTGGCCCCCGCAAGTCATTGTATAGGCCACATCGCATTCAAACGCCACTACGAATGTACAAATGGAAGTAGAATGCGTGCCGCATCCCAAAAAGGGATTGATCAACGGCAAATGCTTTATCCTTTATTATAGTAGCAGAAGTATGGAACTTCAGCGGAAACTTTGGAAACGACAAAGTTTTAGTAACACTGCATAAAACACATAAAAACGTGGCCGCTCAAAAAATAGCAAAACAGCTCCACAAAGCGTACCTTCGGAATGATTGCACAGAGAAGGTCTGCACCTTTTCTATACACCAGGCGTCCCAAAAATAT